AGTGGCTTACGACAGAAGCTTACTATCCTGAGCGACCTTAGTATTGTCATCACCAACACGTGTAGTTGACCATGTGTATATTTTTCAACTACAATAACAGTAATTTTAAAAACATTAAATTCCCCCCCCCAAAATCCTCAAAATTCACCAAAAATTCCTCAAAAATTCCACAAAAATTTCCCAAAAAATTCTCAAAAATTCCCCAAAAATTCCATCCTATTCACCTGAGTGGCGTTGGATTCTTATATTGCAACTTTTCGTATCCTTCGAGATCCAGCGAAAAGCTCACATCATCCGAGATGTGCCAATGCAAAACGTTCATCTGAAAAGGAAAAAATATTTTCAACAAGCGCAAGAGTTTACATACGAATTCTGCTACAAGTGTACAGAAATAACCAATGAGAATTTACCAAAATTTTCTCATAATTTTTCCATTCACACCAAAAAGTGTGGATACTCCGACATTATGTCAACGCAGGAAAATAATGAGGGTGGCTCGATGCAGTAAAAACGCAGTTGAAGCTGATACCCCAATATAAATTACTATAACCATAATAATCTAACATCATAATAGACGCATTAACTACAAAACTCACTTTCGTCCAGAACATTAGTTGAAGATTCTTTATTATAGTTTCCACTGATAAATATCTTCTACCAGTGTCAATCAGCATGCCTCTATGTGGGAATGACGGGAAGTCATAAATGGTGAAACCAGAATCCAATAACTTATGCATGTCCTCGGCGTTGTTGTGAGAAAATTGTCCCTGAGATAAGAAAACAAGTGTGCGTTGGAGTAGGAATATATATGTTCGATTTCCTCATCAGCTGACCTCAGAAGAGTTTATATATGAATTCGGGTAGAGGTCTACAGAGGCCAACAACAAAAATTTCCCCAATTTTGCTCAGATTTTTTATACTGTCGTAATCACCAACACATGTAGTTGACCGTATGAATATTTTGCCACACTATGAGAACTTCAGGATATTTTCAAAGCTTTTTGCACACTTCTACCCGAATTTATGAGGAAACCCTTGAGCTTCGATAAAACGAAAATATATTCCTCCAACTGCGGTTTTCATTTTTTTCATACATCAAATTCAAAATACCACAACACAAAGATGAACTAAAATTTAATTTCATACACACTTTGAAAAGGAAAAAAATCCGAAAATACACCAAATTTACATATTAAAATATTACTCACACTGAAATGCAATCAATAGTATTTGGGTTTTGAATGTGGTATTGCTAATGTCATTGGAGTTTCACGATCCGTTCGACGTGAAATGGGGTAATACTCCGTGCAAGTTATAAGATGTATATCTTTCCGCGGCCGGTTGTACAATTTTTTCCCGCGAAGTGAAATATGAAATATGTTTTTCACCACTGCTTTTCATATCACTCCAATACTTCTTCGAGACGACTTTCACCTCTTACCACCGTTCCTATACCATATAATGCTCCACTTCTAGAACTAGCATTCAGACTGCATTGCTGCGATATGCATTTGATCCTATACCCCTCGTCCGGTACACTATGATCATACTTGACTCCA